TCCCCAAAAACCTCAAAACCTCCACAAACTGCCAACAAAGCAATTAACAACTCCCAAACATCCCCCAAAACAACAAACAACCTCGACGAAAGCCGTATTGTTACAGCTCCCCCCAAAAAAAGCGCCTCCCCCCCAAAAAAAGAAACACAAACGCAAATGCACGCTCCCCCCAACAAGCCCCCCCACCCCAAAAGCCTCACCCCAAGAAAAGCAAAAAAAAAATGCGGGCCGAAGGTGCTGCAGGAAGCTCGACCGGGGCACGCCGAAGAGGCGGCACCCCGAGGAAGTTTGCAGCGATTTCAGCTGCGCCAGGAAGGCCGTCTGGTCCTTCCAAATGGGTGTGGGTCAAAATAAGTACCCAGAATAAACAAAGGCTAAAAAGGCAACAAAGGCTAAAACCTGCGGTCCCCTGGTGGTTTAGTTTTGACCCATACCCAAATCGAGCGGAAGCGTCCCCGAAGGTCCCGGGCATCGTGGAAAGCGTCCTTCGAAGCTTCTGGGATACCCCGAGACCCCGTTTTGAATCGTGAGACATGATGGACGGCTAAAAAATGTGTTTTGAAGGGAGTGACAGTTTTGTGGAGGGGGCAAGAATCTGGGCTGTCAATAGGAAATCAGCAAGGTTTGGGGAATGGATGGAACCAACGGATCACCTAGGAAATGACCGAGATTGTTTTTCGGAGATCCCCGAAAAAAATCCCCACTGAGATCGAGCAAAGGGAACACTTTCAAATCTTGAGAGTTGTCAACAAGAAGGAGCAACTGCCCACCAACCTCCCTCCCCAGACCCCTCCCAGACTGGCCAACAAAAACATCAGGAGAGTTCCGGTCGGCACCTTTTCCAGAGGTATTGATCCTATCACAGCCCTTGAGTAATTTCTGCAGTGAAAGGGTTCATTATACGTCTCCTCCAAACATCACACTCGGATTTTTGACATGGCCCAAAAGCCGGGCATTGAAATCCGGTTGCTCCAACCCGTGCCCCGTTGCGTCTTGAACACCGCGAGACCTTCCGACCTGCCCCGCTTCCCCATGTTGGCTCGGTCCTCCTGCTGCCCCAGCAAATACAGCTCCAAGTCGCAGAGGTTCTCCACCTCCCTGTGCAAGGCCTGGGGCTTGCCCGGCTTCTTTTTCAGCCACGAAAATGGCGGGAACTCGAGACCTTGCCAAGTTGGGAATGGTTGCTGTTTGCAGTTTCCCTGTGGGTGTGTCTCAAAGAAAGGGGACCCCTTTTTTGGAGGAAACCGGCTGGTAAAAAACCTGGTACTTATGGTGCTTTTCTTGTTGCTTGCAGTTTCAGGCTGTGACGTGTTGAGTTGCAGTTGTGAGCAGATGGCCCCGTCGTTTGGAAAGGCTTGCACGCACAGGAACACACATGCCAGTGCACACAGGTTGATGCATGGCCAAAGTTGGTTGCAGATGTTGGCAAAAAACGTTTGGAGAGCAACATGTCCATCCCAGCAAACATGAATTTGCTAGAGTCTCTGTGGCGAGAGGAGCACGCAAACGACCCGCTTGCATCATAGTGGGGGTTCAATGTATAGACAGATGGCGGCAATCATTGCAAGACTATGTACCAACTCAGCTTCACTCTAATGTGTTTCGCTACATGCATAGTCCGTTTGGAGGTATCGGCCTCCCATTGAGCAGGACTTCTGCCATGCTTTGGCAGCAGCTTATTGATTCAGATGTTCGAACCATTGAACTGGAACTATGCAAAAAGACATTGGGTTTTATGCAGTGTATGCATAAAAACAATGCTGTCCTAATTCTCCCGTTCGCTGCCAAGCATGAGCCAAAGACGACAAAACGCAGAACAGCCAGGGGAAAACACCTTTCGCCTCCAGGTTTGTTGACAGCCTGTGACCTTTTTGGACGGTTTGAACAGGAAACCAAAGGGAAACCGCCTGGAGGAAGTGGTCCCCTAATTTCGAGAAACTCCCAAATACAGGATGGACCATGGTCGCGGGCTGCTTCTGGCCAGAAACACCCCAAGGTTCGGAAACTCATGTACAAGCAATGATGTTAGAGCCTAAAATGGGACATATGGCTGGTCAAAAATGGGTACCCGAAACGGAATGGTCAATGAACCATGGATGGTTTAATTTTGGCCCATACCCATCTAGGAACCCAACCATGGCCCAACCCCGTGCGCTCGATTCCCCGAGGGAAGCCTGAAGGAGAGATAACCGGGGTCGAACAGAGAGGCACGCGAGGTTAGAGCCCACTTTGGGTGTGGCTTCGTTCTTTCCTTTTTCGCGCTTCTTGCGCCTGTGAAAGTCGGATGCCCAAAGAGAAACCACAACAACTTTGACACCAGCTTAGCAGGAGAATGGGTGGTTGACATATCATGGGGGTCCTCTTAAATTCAGGGTTCGTTGTTCGTGTTCCTTTGCCTTCAAAAGGAAATTCCCTGAAGAATGATGCACCCGAATGACCGTGGTTTACCCGTATGAGTGGCAGCGCTCGAAAGTCCCGAGCCTCAGGGACCTGCTCCAGATATTTCGGCCTCGTCTTCCCGAAGAGCCACTGCTGGTCTGGGTGGTTCTGCTTGACTCTGTCCGTGAGTTCCTCGGCACATAGCTTCCAACTCGAGCTCCGTACGCGACGCAAGCCTTCAAATCCAGCAAAAGGCTTTGTCAAAGGGAAACCCATTCCAAATCCGAAAAGGATACCCTAAGAAAGGTTCCTTTAACACGAGCTTCCCTCGAATTGGGCCCAGTGGTTACCTAGGCTGATTACATGTTCACCGCCATTCTCTCCTGGCTGAAGAGCTTCCAACTCGCATTGGTGGTGAGCCCCAGAAAAGCCTCAACCAGAATCCAAGCCACTTGAAGGGTCTGATCTGATTCTCTGACTCAACTCTGGCACATCGAACAATTCCTCCTACACGTGAGTCTGCTTCACATGTGGGCTCGTCTTCTAGGATTCGGACCCCCCCCCCCAAAAAAATGGGCCAAAATGGGTTCCCATTCAAACCCACCACAAAGGGGTCAACAAAGGGACACACCCATGTCGACAACCTCGACATATGTGTATGTATATATATATACAAATATTACAAAGCAAATATTATGTGTATGTATTTATATATATATATAGATAGATATATCTACATGTCTACGACCAGCGTCCAGCTTCTCGACCTCCTTCACCGCCACCTTCGCTTTGGCCTTGGGGGGGGGGGGGGGCACCCCAAGCACGTGGGTCATGACCCCTATGCAGACCCAATAAGAAACCCGACGGAGAACCCGGAGCATTCAAATGCCCTCAACATTCTTTTCAAGCCGGGACCCCAAGGGCAAAAAAGCAAAAAGACACGCCACTGCTCATTGGAGAAGAAAAAGTACCGGTGGACTGCGAACTGGCGGCCGAATCACCCAACTCTTTTTGTTCCATGGACTTGGGTGCAAGCTGCTTGGTGGCCTAGAGCTTCCTAAACGAGAAGTTCATGATCAGGGTTCCCCAAGGGTTGCTCAGAGACAGACAGACAGACCAGGGTCTGCTGTTTTGAGGGGGTCCTTTTTGGAGGTCGTTCATCCAGAAGCTCAAGTTACAAATCACCCATTTTCAGGCTTCCCCATTTAAAGACACACCGCATCAGCAAGCAGATCAAAAACAACCTTAGGGGCGCAGATCACCTGTCCGCGTCTTGCCATTCACATCAAAAACAAGGCTCTTCACAAAAAGGCTGTCCCACTTCCACTAGGCCTGAGCTGTCTTCTCTTGTGATGGGAAGCGACCGTTCCGACTCCCGCCTTCCGCGCCAGGCGCGCCAGGCGTGCCAACCGCAGCCCCACCACCAGAGCCGCCCGCCACCCAAGCTGCGGAATCAGCGCGGGAGGCGCACCCGGCGCAAGCGGCGCCGGCGGAACGCGTGGAACGCGCGGGGCGCGCGGGGCACGGGAGGGGCCGCTCGGGCTGGGGAGCCATGGCGCCTCCATACCCAAAATTGATTCTTGAATGGTCTATATACACGGACCAAGGTGGGTTGCAGGTGGGGTCTTGGGCTGAGGTTGGCTGGTGGGGGGCTGCAAATTTGGCCTCTTTTCGTCAGGCCAGCCCACGGCCCCTTCTTCTGCAGATCTGGGTCAAAAACAAAACGAAAGGTGGCATCCAGTCTTCGTCAGCTGCCAATGTTTGTAATACATGCATAACAGATCCCACATCTCCATTTTTCGTCGCAATCTCGGCCATTGGCTCTCTGTTCCACATGTCTGTCACATGAATTCGCATCTTGGAAAAGCTCGCGAGCCAGCTCGAGGACTCAGCCGTTGGTGAAGTGAGTGTAAAGAGACAAGTATGAGCTTCTGCCAAAATAGGGCTTCCCTTTCACTCCAAAGAACAGGGGGTTCCCTAAAAAACGACACACCCATATGGTGTGTTGATGTGAAACCTCCTATGCTACAAGTACCTTTGCTTGTATGCTGACTGAGATTGTTGCAAGAACATCGGAACTAGAGCAAATGCTTGACTTGTAGCTGGCTAATTCATGCATGCGTCTTTCTGGTGCTTTTGCCTCCCCGTTGTCAAGTATTTACATGAAATGACTCCTCACATGTCCAGAGGTGTTCAATTTCGCCTGCTTTCAGGTTGCGCAGGTTCATGGCACCAATCCGCCTTGGCTCTACCATCAAAAAGCATGATCCATCAACAGCCATGCAAAAAGGAAGCTTTGTGCAAAATCAAGCTGTGTGAGCAAAGTCTTTCGTTTTCAAAGGTTGCAAAGGCTGTTACCCCACCCTCTGGCCTCTAGGCTTTGAGCTGAAAATTGAAGGTGCCGTTGCTTGAGGCGGCGACGGATTCCATCATCCGACTGGCTTTATGGCTACTTGACCAGGGGTAAGCCCCACCGGAAACGGTTCCACCCCTCCCCAACACCCCCCCAAAAAAAGAAGCTTGAAACACTGGGAAAACCCAAAAAAGAAAAGACCCCAAAGGCCAAAGGAATCTTCACGGGGCATCTTCCCGGTCACCCAACGGTCTGTCGCACTCGGATCCTGCAGCGCCCAGCCCAGAGAAAAGGCGAGGCTGAGCGCCACGAGCAGCAGGCCACGCCTGACACACGAGCGCGAGGCTTCACCCTGGTGCCGAAGGTTGACCCCATATTTAAAAAAAACAAAACATAAGGGGGGTGTTCTCCTCCACAAGTGATGATTCCCCCCACTAAACCCAGGGACCCCTCAGGTTTATCAATATAGTTTACGGAGGGTGGGAGTGGGGGCCCCTCCAGAAGTGGTCTCATTCCCCCACATTTCACCCTCGGGTTTAGCCCCTCGGGTTTCGCAAAATACGGGGTCAACATTATGTCATAGGGATTCGGATCCCCATGTGAAGTGTCCAATCTGACCAGGACTCCCATGTTCCATTTGGTTCCCTTTCCAACCCCCCGAAAACTGGATTACGCCCATGTTTCACGCACCCCATCAGCTTCCCATCCGTGGCTTTGGTGAAATGGAGTTCCCGTTTGGAGTGGTGGTTTGGTGGCGAAATGGAGTTCCCGTTTACACTCCAAGAACAAAAGCTCAAATCCCCAAACCACCAACTAAGAGTTGCCTGATCATAGGGATTCGGATCCAAAACAAAGGCGCAAGGCTTTGTTTCCCTTTTGGTTTCTCCATGACCTATCCCGTTGCACATGCGCCATCATCACAGCGCTGCCTCCGGAAAAAAGGAAACCGCCGGCTGGATGGCTCACTTCAGGCTCATTGCTTCTGAGAGTTGAGATACCAGCGGAACCAATAGGGAACTTCCAAGAGCTTTCCACCATACCCCCGGGCGCAAAAGAATACATCTCCGGACAGCCCCGCTGCTCCCCAGAGCCTCGTGCCAGTCCGTCAACACCTCCGTCCGTCGACCCGGGCTTCCGCGCCACGCCCGGCGCCTGGGGGCCACCTCCTCGTCCAGAACCTGCTGGGGCAACCTCCCCGGGCTCAAGGGAAACCCGCCAGTTCTCGACTTTTTCAGCCCAACCCACAACATGACACCACCAAAAGGTGGCCCTGGCAATCCATTCCCCAACAACTTGCTGGCTCTCAGCAAGGAATGAGAAATGGAATGACCCCTATAAGCCATCCCCCATGGTTTCCTTTATTCGGGAATCCCAGAACGGTTCATTCCCAAAACCCGGCGTCCTTGTCGTTTCCTTGCTATCGCGCCAGCGAGAAAAAACTTCACTTCGCGGCCCCAAGTTGAACTTCAGCTGGCGCGGGATGAAAATAGTTGGCACAAACGCCGCTTTTCGAGGTTGGCTGAGCTCTTTGTTAAGCCAAAAATGGCAAACCTTGCGGCCTGCTTTGGTCATGAACAACGATTCACGCCCACACTGCAACTTCTACGAAAGCAATCAGGGGGGGGTGCTCAGGCCTGTCATTCGAGCAAGTCAGATCAACAAAAGCATCTCTATGCTTGATCCTGTACCAGAAAGTCTGTTCATGTGCCGAGACTTAGACCGGGCTGCAAATTAACCTTTTGCCGGCAAAGAGGGAAAATGAAAGAAACCGAAAAGTGAAAAAGGGGACAAACCCTGGGAGAGGGAGGGGCGTTCCAGGCGGGAATAGCCGCAGAGTTTGGGCATCTTGGTCGAGGTGCCAAGCCCGGGACTGGGATGGGGAGCCTCTACTCAACCTGGGGATCGGCCGGAGTTGACTCGCCAAACGGAAAGAAGAACTTGCCACCTTGTTTGGTTGGAACGGAAAAGCACACAGAGCACCACCCGCGGCTGAAAAGAGGGGCCGACTCCTCGGGGCAACTGAAGCCGCTCGGTCTCCGAGGCAATCCCTCGGACCAACTCAACCCCGTGGGTCTCTTGCAATGGGGTAGATGATTCACGGTGCCCGAAATTTCGGGGTCTGTATGAAAGCGGTCCATGGAGAGGTTGCAAAGCCCACTTAAAAGATTCTTGTGATTTGCACACAGTCCGATCACTTTCTCTAAGCTGGCTCATCTGCAGTCCAAACGATTGTCCCCATGCCATGTGGGTATGTTTCAAAAGGGAACCACCCAGAATGGCGGCTGTTCCTGAATTCCTTTAAACCAACCCTCAAACGAGCCCCCTCAAGAAACGACGCACCCGTGTGTCCAACCAAAGCGACACCCTCCGGTTTGTTTGCCCGCACCTTGCCGAACCACCACGCAGCCTCGGAACTCGTCGCAGGTCGCAGGTCGAAGAAGTAAAGGAGTCCAAACAAGAGATTGCTGAACAAGAAAAGACAAGAGGTCGATGTGAACTTTAATGTGGGATCCTTTGGAATTTAGGTGGGGAATCATGTTCACCAACCACCAAAAGAACCGAACTGTTCAGTTTAGCCTCTGCTTGCAATTTGACCACACCTCTGGAAGTTAAATGGCCTGTAGCCAGGCTCTGAGTGTGTATGACCTGATTTTAGTGGTCAGAGAACGACTGGTGTCTCTCTTGAAGCCTCTTATATCCCCGGTCTGAGAGGTGTCTGATCATTTGGTTGAAACATTGCTGCACGTTGCTGTCCTCTTTTTGAATCAACGCGTTTCCAAGGTCCTTCATGGTTCCATCCAAGCATCTCAAGCAAAACCCCGCCAGGTTGCCATGGTGCCCAACAGGCGGCCAATGCTTTGGCGATGGTCACGGGACATCCAGGTCTGTGAAACAATAGCGTCCGTATGTTCCCTTTGGATGAGAGAATGGCGGCTAGCTGCGGTGATGTCGAAAATGGAAAATCCACAAAAGACCAACTGCTCAGACACATCTGATTATTGATGCGGTCTGTAAAGCAATTACTGTCACGTTTCGCGGCTGATGGTGTCCAGGTTCTCTGCGTTTCCCTTGCTTGCGCAAATGATCAAGTCGCCATCCATTCCCTCCGTTTTTCCCCGAAGACTGAGATGTCCAACTGGTTTTTGATCCCCCACAAACAAAGAAACCAACGAGCTTCGGTGTTCCTTTCCCCCTAAAAAAGAAACTGCTTGGGGCGCTTTCTTCTCCAACAAAGCAAACATCTGCAAAACACCCAAAACGACCTGTCCCCCACCCTGAACACCCCCCGTCTTTGCCTTTCCTGCTCCTGCTGCATACCCAAAAAATATGTTTGGCCAAATGAGGCACTGGTTTAGGTCCTTGAACCCTTGTGGAATTTACTTATTATTAGGCCATACCCAGAGATTCTTGTGGCCTGGGATTTAGTCTACCTGGGAGTGTTCCTGTTTTTGCAATCGGGGGCCCCCAACATGGTGCAACGGTGTTCCTCTGGGTTTCCAACTTGAAGACCCACCAAAGAGGGTACCAACTCCAAAAAAGACATCCCTTGGGCGAGCCCCCAAATAACCCATCCAATGTCCCATGTGGGAAATATCATATCTCTTTCATGGATTTCCAACCACTGGTCATCCCGTGTTTACCGGACCTTTTGATCCACCCCTATAACGGGTTGGCACCAACTCCAAAAAAGACAGCTTCCCTTTAAAATCCACCAAACAGGGGCCGAACCCCCCACCAAAATCGTGGTCCTTTTTGGCTTCCCCTTGAAAATCACCGAACCGGGTACCCACTCCAGGAGCGCCCCTTCCCTCCGGGCATCGAGCCGAGCGGCCCACATCTGCGCTGCCCAGAAGCCCGCGGAGTTGAGGCCGCGGCTGCGCACGTTGAACCTAAGTCCGTCAGCGTCACGTTAACCCAATTGGCCTGGTGTCTGAGCTGTCGAGCTGTCCGTTTTCGGATCCCCTGCAGAAAGTGGCACCAACTTTTGGCCTAAACCAACCAGAAGCCAAAGGCTACCAACCTTTGGCAGGCGGTGTTCAAGTTGGAAACTGCGAAACCGAAAGGAAAACTGCAATCTTCGGGTTGCTGAAAGGGCTTCCCACCCAACTGGCGGTTTGGCTTCGTCATGGACCGTTTCGGGATGGACCATCCCGAGGGAAGGCGGTAAAAACGTGGGCCCCAGGGTTGAACTCTCCAAGTGGAACCGTCCAAGACCTAAGACACCCCAAAAAGGTAACGGCTTGCCCTGCTTCTAGTTGACGTTCCCTTGCACTTAAAACTAAGCCCGAAATCTCGGCGGCCCCAAACAGAACAAACAGACCATACCTGTAAAAACGAGGACCAATATGTGAGACTAATGTCTTACCGTATCGTTATCCCGAGTTAGCCACTTGCCAGAAGAGGACCACACTTTCTCCTGTGCAGATTCGGTGGGTGGGAGGAGAAAACAGATTGTTGTCCACCCTGGTCTTGTGCAAGCGTGGTGTCTTTTTTAAGGCACTCCCCCCCCCCCTCAAAGCCGTGTGATCTTCTTGATGCAAGTCATGGCTGTGGTTGTGGTTGTTGTTGTTGATGTTGTTGTTGCTGTTGCTGTTGCTGTTGCTGCTGCTGTTGCTGTTGCTGTTGGTGTTGCTGCTGTTGTTGCTGCTGCTGCTCCTGTTGCTGCTGCTGCTGCTGTTGTTGCTGTTGCTGTTGCTGTTGCTGTTGCTGTTGCTGTTCCTGTTGATGTTGCTGTTGCTGTTGCTGTTGCTGTTGCTGTTCCTGTTGCTGTTGCTGTTGCTGTTGCTGCTGCTGCTGCTGTTGCTGTTGCTGTTGCTGTTGCTGCTGTTGTTGCTGCTGCTGCTGCTGCTGTTGCTGTTGCTGCTGCTGTTGTTGCTGTTGCTGTTGCTGTTGCTGTTGCTGTTCCTGTTGATGTTGCTGTTGCTGTTGCTGTTGCTGTTGCTGTTGCTGTTGCTGTTGCTGTTGCTGTTGCTGTTGCTGTTGCTGTTGCTGTTGCTGTTGCTGTTGCTGCTGCTGCTGCTGCTGCTGCTGCTGTTGTTGCTGTTGCTGTTGCTGTTGCTGTTGCTGTTGCTGTTGTTGATGTTGCTGTTGCTGTTGCTGTTGCTGTTGCTGTTCCTGTTGATGTTGCTGTTGCTGTTGCTGTTGCTGTTGCTGTTGCTGTTGCTGCTGCTGCTGCTGCTGCTGCTGCTGCTGCTGTGCTGCTGCTGCTGCTGCTGCTGCTGCTGCTGCTGCTGCTGCTGCTGCTGCTGCTGCTGCTGCTGCTGCTGCTGCTGTTGTTGTCAGGATAGCCAGCTCCGGGTAGTGTGTCCAAAAGAGCTGGTTGCGCGCCTTACAATGGCTCCATGCGCCAAAAAGATGCCTTTGGTCAAACCCCTGAAATTGGCTTCAGTAAAACTTTCCCCAACTGTAGCAATCCATGGCATTCTGCATGATACCCTACAGCGCTTGCAAGCATACATACCATGAACCATGAGGCACTGGCTGTTGGCCGTTGAAGCCATTGAAGTTGTAGGTGTAGAACCAGTTAGAGGCCAGGTAGAACAAGAGATTGCCTCATGGGTCCAATCACTTCGGGCTTCGAATCATGGAAGCCTCGACATCCTCCCTTCAAAGAAGGACTTGGCAGGGATTACAAGCACCCCATGTGTGTCTTAAACCCTTCCCTTTGGTTTTCCTTTTGAAAACCAACCAAACAAGGGTACCCTCAAAAAACTGACAAAAGTGTGCCCACCGTGTCGAAGACTGCTGCCTTCTTCCTTGGCTGGCACAGGAAAAGCGCAACACAGACTGCTGCCATGATTGACTGCTGCCATGATTCTGCAGTAAGGACCACCAGCACTGTGAACCGACAAAAACGCCCCTTTCACCCGAAGCCACGTCCATGTCCCTCAGCCGACAACAAGTCAATACTGAATAAGAACTGCTACTGTGGATGGACTTTGACACCATGGGAAACCCGTTGTCCAGGGTTTCTTGGGTGGTGCAGGACTTCCTCCGTCCACAGCAGGTTAGCACAAAGCTCAGCAGTTATATAGATGGTCACAAACAGAAACTCTGTGCGAGGTCACGCGGTAACTTTCACAGAATGTAAATATCTTCTCTCACACGGTGTTGGCATTGCTTGGAATCAATCGTTTCTAGCCCATGTCCCACACAGACGATTTTGGCATTGACTTTGAGGGACGCTCATGGTTGAAACAGCCAATTCCCTGCCGGCTCCAGATGGAGTATGTTTCCTGCAAGATTCTCAAAGGATCCCAAGGGGAAAAATCTGCCAACCCCTGCGTGTCGTTGACCTCAGGGACCTGTGAAACTAGATGTGTTGACCCGCTTAAAGGGGGGGGGGGGGGTAGGCATTCTTGATGCCTGACGGGCTAGTGGCAATGGCCCCTTGCCTATTGGGACAAAATCAGGTGTCGTTTCATCTTTGCACCAATTGCCCACGTGACAAGTAGAATTCAATCACAAATTTCTCCAGTTGCAATCAAAGAATGAAACTCTGCCCAAAACCTTGCAATCAGTCATCAGAGCAGCACGTGGCTGGGACTGTCCCTCGTGTCCATCTTGAGATCGAATAGAGGTCACGCTTCTTCTCAGGAGCCTGCCCTCTCTACAAAAAGAACTTGCAAAAGAGCGACAAGAAATCACACATTCAGGGAGAAACCATCTGCTTCGAACGGTAAGCTAAAACGGTCAGCATGCAACTCTGGAAGTGTGGGGATCTACTTGAGCTGATGAATATCCCCGAGTCTGTGGATGCCTGGAAAAATGGCGAAGAGAGTTCAAACCATTCAAAAGAAAACCTACCAATCCTGAGGCAACTTGCAGGACCAAACCCCGGCCAACCTTCAAATCTATCCCAAACAAGACTCAACAGCAGCGCAAACGTCAACAGCTCTTGCCAGCCATCCAGTTAACCAACCAACCAACCAACCAACCAACCAACCAACCAACCAACCAACCAACCAACCAACCAACCAACCAACCAACCAACCAACCAACCAACCCACCAACCCACCAACCAACCAACCAAGCAAGCAAGCAAGCAAGCAACCAAACAACGAACAAACAAACAAACAAACAAACAAACAAACAAACAAACAAACAAACAAACAAACAAACAAACAAACAACAAATATGCAGCGGTATGGTCCACACTGATCCCAGAACAAAACAAGTAGGAGGTCAAGCAACGCCACGCTGATATACTAAACTCACTGCTGAAGCGGGCCCTTGCATTGGCCGTTTGCCTGTGTCTTGCGAATGGGGACATCGCCAACATTTTGAGTGCCAACATCTTGAGTTACTTTTGACTAATAGACCGATGCCAATGCCTGCTCTTGAACACCAAGAAAACAGCAAGCATGGATGCATACAAACTTTTTGGTCAGCTGGCCCCCCAGACGCACCAAAGGTAAGGGCCCGAGGTGCGCAGGATGAAGGGGTCCCCAATTGCAGCTATTGCCTTGGATGGGAGCGGCAAGAGCCCAGCGGCATGTCCCCACCAAAGGGATGCAAAGCTGCTGGAAAGAAATCGGTGCAAAAGCACAAGCCTGTCATTTGGGTTGCAGGTCGGGCAGCTCATTGTGTTTCGCGCATCAAGATCCAGTTGACGTCCGTGCCAGGCTTAGACCCCCCAAAAGTCAACCTTTCGCGGCTATCTGTCGCCCGGAGCCTCGGTTTGGGATCCCAGTCCCCCCATACAGCAAGTTGCAGCAAAGACGACTTGCCTCACCCGTGCAGCATCTAGGCTGCTAGGCGAGCGTGTTTCTGTGTCCCCGATTTTCTCTTGAGTGCTCCATCATGACAAAGGGCCCCTGCCACACCTTGCCCCTTTCACACAAGGTGCTGCTCGCAACTCAGCCAGCGGCGACTCCGCCTGCATCCAAAAGTGTGCAAAAGGGTCCAAAAGTCGCCCAACGCGAGTGTTCAACGAAAAATCCCAAGAAAGACCGACCTCGCGCACAAGGCCCTGACACCCCGACAAGGACTCCCATCAAACCACCCATTTGAAACAATGTTGCCCCATGCTTAACTTGTCCTTGTGAGTTCCCCTCCAAACAACCCAAATAATGGTACCCCGTAATTAACACAAACACACACACACACACACACACACACACACACACACACACACACACGTTTGCCCCTGGATCCATCTCGCCCGCCTGTTGGAACAGCACTGGGGTGCCGTCCTCGCGGACCACGGAGGACCTTGGACCAACCACGAAAAAGTATATATCCTCAGAAAAGGGCGAATTTCAGATTGTGTCGAAACTGGTCGGGTACTCATGTGCTTGGTTCGACTTGGTATCCTTTGAAACTACTTTGCCAACGGGCCCTTTTCTCGCGCTTGATCCTATGACCTCTAAACCCTCAGAATCCAAGTTGCGGAGGAGGTAGAAACGGGCAAGACGGCGCCAAAAGATTGGGGAGGTGCTAATTGAAAACCCTGACACAAAGGAAAAATAAAAATTCAAAGCGGCCTGAACTTCAGCTGTGGTTTCAGCCAGGTAATTTTGTTGATGGGGTCAAGGGCATTCTGGTGGACTTTGGAGGTAAGGATGCTTATATACCATTGTTAAGCAGTATATACCCCATACAAGTGGTAGATAACCTCTATACCTCCAAAACCCATGCCGGAAACTACCCTTGATGGGGGACATCATTTACATGGGGGATTTCTGTCCACCAACCATTGTCGGGGGGCCCATTAAAATTCACAGCCAAGTGCTCTTCCTGGGTGGGCGAGTAAGCGCATGCGACGGGGGGGGGAGAAATGTTGCAAGGATATGTCTTCTGTGTTTCATGTGGTTCCCAGGACACCGCTTCGGCTTACTATGACGAGTTCTTTGAAAACGCCAGCGCTTCTCCCATTTCTAGCTGCACTTCCCCCATTTTGGTTCAAAGGTCCTCTTCAGAGAAAAAAGAACGGAAGAAACAAACACAAAATCAAACAAAAGGAGTGGTCTCCCCCTCCCTCCCCCCCTTCCGGTTCGTCAGAGGCTCGGATCCGCCAAGAGCGGCGACATCAGGGCGCCCAAACCCATGACCTGAGGCCGAAGAGCGGGTCACATGTGGTATTTGTACCTTGGGCTCATCACCCCCCCGCCCATTCATAGACCCGCTCCTTTACCCGTCGCCTTTTGCCGTCGGCTTTTTGGTTACACTTCAGTCGAACCTGAAAAAACAATTTTGGAGGAATCTCCTCTTTTTTTGCAGGGGGGGTCCATGTTAATTTATAGAGGAGTATCTGTAGATGGTAACCATTTGTCAAGTTTCTGCACCATGTCACAAGTCAATATTGGTCTACAAGGCGTACGGCTAGGCGCCTTGCTTTTGACAGCAAGCGCTGAGCTTTCCCGGCGATGTAAACGATTAGAACGTCACGCGGATGTTCGGTGCGTGGAAGTCAAGGGCGCCCATTGGGTTCGATTGGATGTCTGACATGCTCCCCCCTCTTATCAGCGGGTTCTCGTGGCATCACAAACAAGATGGCAGAAATCAATGGCCAGATCTTTGCAACATTACGAATGATGCGCACAAAACCATTTAGCCATCTGATGAACCGACTTTGGGGGAAAATCTTCGGGATGAGTGTGGACTTGCTGTGCAGACCCGTCGAACATGGGCCCAATTCAAGTGACACTCTGAATTAAAGTGTCACAACTGGGCGCATTGTATTATTGGTGGTGAAAGGGATATCCACCCCCAACTGCCTAAAGGAATGTGAAGCAGCGCATGAAAAATCGAAGACTGAAGACCTAGGACCGAAGTTTCACAAGCCCGAACAACGGGCGGGCCCAAACAAGAGATTGGGTGTCCCGATCTTCTCGGCTGTTGCGGGAATGAATTCAGCGTCCTAAGAAAACCGAATATAACCTGCGCATCCTCTTTCAACAGGTGCAGGCCAACCTTTATCCCAAGCGATGCGAAACCCCGTCGGTTGCAAAGGACCTGTGGCAGAATTCGCCCGCAAATGTTGCCCTGGCCAAGGGTTCCAACGACGTCACCGACTTCTTTGGCGGAACTTTGGCGTGCCAAACCCCCGTGCAGGAGATTTTCTGTTCACCCAAAAGACAGCTTTCAACAGAGCAGATGCAACAACGCACCTGCCGGTTTCGGTCCGTCGTCTCAGCGCCCGGCAACCACAAACCTCAGCTTCACAAGATTGGACCGTCTCAGTTTGGAGCCAAGTAGCAAGCAACAAAAATCAGCAAGCCAGCAACCCTCCCAGCTGACGGAAACAACTCCATGCGAAGCTTTGGCCAATGTGTGTTCGTCTAGAAATGAGGGCAGGGAGTCATATCATCCTCTTCATGGAATGCTCGCTTCCCTTCCACAATTTCTGGGCTGGTCGGTGTCTACCTTGTCCTGCCAAAAAGGTCCATGCTTCGGAAGATACGGGAGTTGTGCCTTGAGGTGGGGGATTTGACCTTCAAAAAGGTGGTGTGCCTGTAGATAACAACCCAACAAGTTACTGGTATTCCCCACCTCTATTCAAGCCATCCCTCGATGCTTGGCCTCAAGGAGCACCCAGTCGCAAGCAAAAGGAGCGGAACTTTGAGTGGGTCCCCAACCCAGCAAACAGAAGGGGATTCCAAGGCTATGCGCTGAACTGCCTGATTTGCGTCGCACCACTCCTTGCTGGGCCTGCAAAGCTCCAACCTTCTTCAACAGGCCCGTTCTAGCCCTCAAAAGTGAATGAAAGACTGAGGTCATCTGGTGGACCGGTTCATATGGATCCAAACATGAAGAAATCATCGAATTCCCTGAGGCTGTGACACAAGCTTTCACTTGCACGGCGCATGCAGGTGGGGATGTTTGCTTTTCTTCCAAATCTCAGGGCGGCTTTGTCAATCACGTCCCCTCCCGGAGAAAATCATCTCAGGGGCGTGAAGTAGGAGATAGGATTGGCCTCAGGCGCTTCATGGGCGAATATCCAAATACCCTGAGGGCTGAGGAGCCTTGCACGTTGGTCTGGTCAACGATGTGAACCCCAGATGTTGTGACTGAGTTGGGAAATCTGCCAGGCTGCACATCTGGGTCAGCTACACGGAAGAAACTTGGGTCCAGCGGCGAAGTCAATCGTTCTAGGCTTGCACCCGCAATGGTGCAACCCGCAACGTCCAGGGATCGAAATCTCCCCGACCATTCATGGGAACACCGAGGGATGTAGCCGCGGAGAAGAAACAAGCCACGAAGCGGCCCCGGGCTATTCGCCGATTTTGTCTCTTGGGACGGCAGAGACATCTTTCGGATAAAACGACAATGCCCCATGAGCAAACACTCGGAATACCGCGGTGTCGGTTTTTGAGGCGACCACGGGATCTTTCCAGAGCCACATGGGAAGCGCCGACAAAAAATGGGGGGATGCCCCGCCCGACAAATCCCCGCACGCCTTCGTTTGGAAGCTTTGAGAACTGGGAAAAAGCTCTGTCGCGAGCAAACAAGTCTGCTGTTGCTTGGCGCCAAACCAGAAAAAAAACAAAAACAAAAAAACAAAAACAAAAAAAACACTGATTTGGATGTGTGTCAAGATAAGGGAACGCCGAGAAAAAAAGATTGGCTTCCTGTTGGCCTCCTTCAACACCAACACAAAAAGGATGCCCTCAAAAACAGACACCCCCCTGTATTTTGCTCGAAAGTCTTTGAAGGCCCCCCTCTTAAAATTTGTTGACCGGGCTTGCGTCTTGTTCAATCATGAGCCACACCTCAGGGATACTAGAGCTTTGGCATCGCAAACCAGAGCGCACGGGATTTGGGATTTGCCAAAGGCTGGCGTTCGTCAAACTGGGACCTTTCTTCACGTGAGCCGAACACGCCCAAAGTCGTAGTTTACGTCGTCCAAAGTCGTTTTCCGCTAGCCCGTCCCAATTCGGAAAATCTGAGCTGTGTCAACCAAAACATTAAAGTCCAAAGATCCGCTACCAAATAGCCAAAAAGTTCACTAGCCACATTCACTTCAGCCCCGGAACAAAATGAGAAAACATGTCCAGTAGTGAAATCGATTCCCTTTAAAGCCAACAAGGGACAATATATGGGTGGATAAATATATATATATATACATATATATATATATATATCAATGAAAAAAATCGGCGGATGAAAGGCCCAAGGGAAAAACATGTTGGAACTTCGATCAGCCCATTGCGGGGAGAACGAGCGGCGCTGCTGCCGCTCGTGTGGAAGTTCAGCCCGAACTGCAGCAGGCCACCCATGACTCCTAGCCAAGTCATCGGGCGGCTTGTTCTTTCTAAGTTGCTGTTCAAAAAATGGGAACATGTATATGTATTCATATAGATAGATAGATAGATAGATAGATAGATAGATCGATAGATCGATCGATCGATAGATTGGATTAGATTGGATAGATTAGATTAGATTGGATGAGATTAGATTAGATTATACTATATTAGCTAGATTAGCTAGATTAGATACATTAGCTAGATTAGCTAGATTAGCTAGACTAGATAGATTAGCTAGATTAGATGGATTAGATAGATTAGATAGAATTGATAGATTAGATAGATTAGATACACTAGATACATAGATAGATAGATTAGATAGTAGATAGATCGATAGATCGATAGATCGCTAGATCTGCAGATAGACAGATAGACAGATAGACAGATAGACAGATAGACAGATAGACAGATAGACAGATAGACAGATAGCATAGATAGCATAGATAGCATAGATAGCATAGATAGCATAGATAGCATAGATAGCATAGATAGCATAGATAGCATAGATAGCATAGATAGCATAGATAGCATAGATAGCATAGATAGCATAGATAGACAGATAGGATAGATTCACAGATAGGATAGATTGACAGATAGGATAGATAGGATAGATAGAAAGATAGGATAGATAGATAGATAGATAAGATAAGATAAGATAAGATAAGATAAGACACGATAAGATAAGATAAGATAAAGATAAGATAAGATAAGATAAGATAAGATAGATAGATAGATAGATAGATAGATAGGTAGACAAATAGATATGATAGATAGATAGATAGATAGATAGATAGATAGATAGATAGGATAGATAGATAGATAGATAGATAGATAGATAGATAGATAGATAGATAGATAGATGGATGGATGGATGGATGGATGGATGGATGGATGGATGGATGGATGGATAGACAGAGAGATAAAGAGATAGAGAGATAGAGAGATAGGGAGAGAGAGAGAGAGAGAGACCCAATACAAAGGTGTCTTGAAAAATGCAAGGGTGGTATTTGTCCAACACAAGGGTACTGTTTAGTTAAACCCCAAAGCAAGACTGTGTGAGTGCTTTATTTAAAGAAAATCCTGCTTCAAGCCCTGAAATGATCCAACCACAAGGAAGTTCAGGCGGTCTTCTTCAATCAGCCAGGTGAGCATTGCCCTAAACTCCTTGGTCCTGTTATGAGGGCTTGCTATGTGCACCACCGCGCCAGGTCGTAGAAGCCCATAGTGATGGCGCATGGGGGGGGGGGTGGTTGGAGCTCACACCTGCCCTTCTTTCCAGGTTGGTGCCATTTTGAGAAAGACATATGCCAAGAACCCTTCCAAACCAAAAGGCCAGAAGGTCGAGGAAGGCGAAGCGAGCTTCCGCGTGGCCATACAATCCCCCTTTCCTGCGTGGGAGCCCACCTTCCGACCTGCAAAAACTGAAGACTTTCTGCTGGTTTGAAAGGGAAATTTGTGGACAACTATGTCTGGCAATGTTGGAAAAGGAAAGTCAACTCTTCCGGGTTGATGGAATCGCCTGAGGAAGGGCCTGAGGAAGAGCCCCACTGGGCTACAGTGACTGTACCATCAACACTCGGCCTACCTTTCGTCCGGTGTTGTCCGTCGTTGGGTCCCGATGTTGGAGTGCGCCCAGCGCAAGAAATGGGACTGCTTGCACGCGCACGGCCTGAGACGTCTCTGGCAAAACGTCTGAAACACGAACCTCGTGCCAGACGCGGCCTCCCAGATTGAAGATGACCCAGAAGATGGCGATCAAGCGGCCTGGCATGGCGACACCTGTATTCAAGCTACTTCTGCCTGGCCATATGTTCCAGTTCAAAGGGACCAATGGGCAAAGCATGTGTGTGTGTGTGTGTCCATTTCTGTTGAACATCATGCGAGCCAGCTGGCCGTGATACCAAAACAAAAAACGGGATTCCTTGCATGTCCTGTCTAAAGTTCACCCCAGGAAGCTCGATCACGTGCTCCTAGGAACTGCCCGGGATCCGTCTCAAGGCGCCTCGGGAATTCGGCGTGGCGTACGCCATCATCAAGGAGCCTCGGTCGCCAGCGACCACCCCACTTCCCCCGGCTCGCGACAAATATGCGGCAACCTACATCTTTCAAGCAAAAATAAAAATGTAAAGTTTGCACACAAAAAATGCCGGAAGCCTTCTTTTTGGTGGGTGCTGGCTAATTGTCCACGGAACTTCCTGTAGCTTGTTGTTATGTCTGTGGCCTTAAGAGGTTGAGGCTTTGCACCTCTTGAGGGATATGGTCTCTTGGGCTGGTGTTGAATCCTTCAACTGTGGCGGAAAAAGCAGAGCGCTATGCGACAGCGGAAAACATTCACAAGAGCAACCGCACCTTTGCGGCAAGAACAGCAGATTTCAAGCCAATGTCGACCCCAAATGAATCCCAACAAAATGCGAAGAAATCCCTCCGAAATGGCAGCTATTAATCAGTTACCATTCATTGACAACTAAAAACTTACAGCAGCTCGAACGCATGCCTTCGCCGGAAACTTCTTGCTTCAACAGCCCGGAAAAAGAACCCGATGGATGGCAAGCCCAAAGCACGGGCGGTCAAAGCCCGGGGACCACGACATGTTCAGCAAGGTGTCTCGGCTTCGCGGCATGAACCGATGTGCACGCAAATGGGAAACAAACAAGCGTATGCCTCGGTTCACTGCAGCGGCATGTCTCCCAGCACCACAGCTCACGATAAGCAGGAAAAAGCACGTGTGTGTGTGTGTGTGTGTGAATCAGGGTTCCAAAGGCGCGGGGAGCACGAGCTGGACCCATCTAAAAAATGGTGCGTGGTAGAAGGCAGTTATGCACCGAACAACTCTGAAAATCGGTTGGCAAAGGGTTGGAAGTGCACGGAGACATTGACAAGTTGAGTCTTGTGGTTGGATTCAGGACGGGAAGGATGCCTTTCGTTCGTGTCTATGTGGAACGGTGGTGGGACGTCCTTCTGTAGCGCCTTATTCCTATAAAAGCGCGTGCCGTCTACAGATGCTTCGATTTCCTTTTCGAAGGTGGCCATACCAAGGGACCCCAAAGGGTGCTTTGCCAGAGATGCGGCGAAGTTGTTACACTGATCTTGAAGAAAGGTGGCTCGCATTTTGCCGCCACACGACTAAAACCCCGGGATGAGAAACAAGCTGGGGAAAAACACACAAGCAAACGGGGGTTCGAGAATCAAAACCAAACCAAGGTGTCTTCTCCCAAGTTTGCTGTTGAACATTGCCGAGAACCAAAGGACAGACCAAGTTTCCATCATTTAAGCAAAACCTATATCTTCATTTGGGCGCGCTTCCCTGTAAAAAAGAAAAGAAAGAAACAAAAGTTGGGTCTCCCAGTTAGGGGAAGAAGAAAAAAAAGGACACACCCATCTTTTGTTCCTTGGGTTTCCGGTCCCACCGAGCGAGCCGCCCTGGGCGGTCCAGAAGAGCCCGGCGCCCAGACCTGGGCCGAGAGCGCGGCCGGCCAGTTGCGGATGGGTCCGGAGAGACGCGGAGAGAGGAAAGCGGAAAGAGCCACGCAGAAACGAGACATGGGAGGCTCTCAAAAGGTTGGCTTCCTTTTGGCGTGTTGTTTGCTTTTTTTTCCAGTTGCAAATACGCTTTCAGGGAAAGAGGAGTTGAAGTATGTCCAGTAGTCGATGGAGTCTTTGAAGCCAAAAAGGGAAAGTATTGTGAACATCGAAACTCGGTGGGGAGGATTTTTGAAAAGAACCACCAACCACTTGTTGAAACGGCACCTCTTGGGCCACCTAAAATGACTTCTTCTTGGTGGGAGGCCTGTGGGAGGGTGGAGTTCGAGACGGGGATCGGCGATCTGATCTTTCCTCGCCAATTTGCTAGTCGTTCGATCGAAATATGTGGCACGGGTCCAAATGGATCAGAATCTGTGGCTCATTTGGGAACTTTGCGTGCCGGTGAGCTCCCTATTGTCAAGGGTGGAATCTGGCAAAAGCAATGTCCCGGTCGCCAAAATCAAACCTTTGGTTGAAAGCCGCCCCCTTTTAGTTTGACGTTAGGGGCGTTCCCTCGCGTCCTTCCCCATGTTTTGCCCATCCCCCGCCAAAACCCACACCTCCCGAGGCCCTGGCCCAAGACGACGCCGCCCAGAGGCGCCAACCACCACAACTTCCCCTCGGCTTGCCGGCTCTGAAAGCTGCATGGCTTTCGAAGATTCCTGGTCACGTCCTTTGGAGTTGATGCCACCCTTTTTGTCTGGTTTAAAGGGGATGGAGAAAAAAAAGCGCTTTCGTTTAGCTTCCGAGACACAATTCATCTCAACTCGGTCCCTTATGCCCTGGGTCTTGAAGCCTGCGCTGCCCAAGCGGCTTAAGATGGGAGAGCCGCAGGAATTCCCGAAGTGGGCTTGGGGTTCTGTGCGAACGAAAAATGGGGACTCCCATCCATGGAAAAAGCATTCGTATCCCATCCCGTTGAAACCGGGCTGTTCTCAGATCCCTACTAAAAGTTTAACTTTTAGTGGGTTAAATGGAAGCCCCCACTAAACCCCCCAAAAAAAAACGGACGGCTGGGAACCGCCGAGGAAACATCAACCTTCCTTCACTCCAAAGTGCTGAGAAGAAGATGCAGGTGGCGTACACCGCATAGGTGAGGCCCCCTGAGTCGCGGTTTGGCGGTTTGGGTCGCTTTTTCACTGTTTGGTCAAAATGTTGAATGGTTCAATTGGAAAATGTCCCCCGAAACAGGGATAAGCCCTAAAGTCCAGGGAACCGGTAAATTTTTGGCAGTGGCTCGATTGAGTGCGGGCATGTGTCAAACAGTTTCACTCGTGGTTCTCTCACGCGCAAGTGTCAGCATCACAACAAACACGCTTGCACGAGAGTATCCGTGGATTTCACAGAATATCAGGTGCTGGTGACAAGGATAAGCTGGCTTTTTACAAAAGAAACACAAGGAAGCTACACACCCATATTGTGTCTCATAAGTTTCATGAAGAGTCAAAAGGGGGGAACAACCAAAATGCCCAACCCAGAATGCTGCCCCCAGGTTGATCAACTGGGGGGATTCATAGGGGGCGTCCCCCAAAAAGTGGAGACTCCACTATCAATCAACTGAGACTTGACAAGTCCTGGGCTCTCAACATCTGCCAGTTGTTCAGTCACCCAGGTAGAAGAAGGGAACCCATTCTAGGGTCGACTGCGGGTTGACCATTTTAGTGGCGAAGCCACACCAAAAAAGGGATCAGAAGGGCGGAATCAGCTGAATGCGGGCTGAGAGTCCGAAGCACAGCAGCCTCAAGTCGAAGCTTCCGGCGATTCTTGAAAGGAAGAGGTCTACTCCAGGTTGGCAAGTTGGCCACATTCCTGCAAAAAGCTCCCATGAGACTTGGCAGGCGATGGCAAGCTGGCCACTGGGCGAGCTTCCAATGCCTCCTTTGTTTGTAGAGAACAAAGAGGTCAAGTGCCTGTAACACGTGGCTGTGTCAAAAGTTGGGACCCCGCGTTTTTGGTCAGTAACTACAAGAGCCAGCAGGACTGGAGGCACGCTACCAT